TTTTCCCTACTTTCTTTCATTTCAGTCTGAATTTGGCAATAAGGAGTTCATGATCTGAGCCACAGTCATCTCCTGGTCTTGCTTTTGTTCACTGTATAGAGCTTCTTCATCTTTGGATGCAAATAATATAATCAATCTGATTTTGGTATTGACCACGTGGTGATGTCCATGTGTAGAGTCTTCTCTTGTGTTGTTAGATGAGGATATTTGCTGTCACCAGTGTGTTCTCTTGGTGAATTTTTGTTGGCCTTTGACCTGCTTCATTTTGTATTCCTAGGCCAAATTCGCCTGTTACTCCAGGTATCTCTTGAATTACTACTTTTGCGTTCCAGTCCCCTATAATGAAAAGGATATCTTTTTGGCGTATTAGTTCTAGAAGGTCTTGTAGGTCTTCATAGAACTGTTCAACTTCAGCTTCTTCAGCGTTACTGGTCAGGGCACAGACTTGGATTACTGTGATATTGAATGGTTTGCCTTGAAAATGAACAGAGGTCATTCTGTTGTTTTTGAGATTTCATCCAAGTACTGCATTTCAGACTCTTGTTTCCTATGATGGCTACTCCATTTCCTTTAAGGGATTTTTGCCCACAGTAGTAGATATATTGGTCATCTCTGTTAAATCCACCCACTGCAGTCCATTTTAGTTCACTGTTTCCTAAAATGTCAACGTTCACTCTTGCCATCTATTGTTTGACCACGTCCAATTTGCCTTGATTCATGTACCTAACATTCCAGGTTCCTATGCAATATTATTCTTTGCAGCATCAGACTTTATTTCCATCACCAGTCACATCCACAACTGGGTGTTGTTTTTGCTTTGGCTCCATCTCTTCATTCTTTCTGGAGTTATTTTCCACTGATCTCTAGTAGCATATTGGGCACCTACCGACCCGGGGAGTTCATCTCTCAGTGTCCTGTCTTTTTGCCTTTTCATACAGTTCATGGGGTCCTCAGGCAAGAATACTGAAGTGGTTTGCCATTCCCTTCTCCAGTGGACCACATTTTGTCAGAACTTTCCACCACGACCCGTCCATCTTGGGTGGCCCTGCAGGTCGTGGCTCAGTTTCACTGAGTTAGACAAGGCTGTGATCCAGGTGATAAGTTTGATTAGTTTTCTGTGATTGTGGTTTTCATTCTGTTGGCCCTCTGATGGATAAGGATAAGAAGCTTATGGAAGCTTCCTAGTGGGAGAGACTGACTGAGGGGGAAACTGGGTCTTGTTTTGATGCCTGCGGCCATCTTTAATCCAATTTTCTGTTGATGAGTGGGGCTGTGTTCCCTCCCTGTTGTTTCACCTGAGGCCTTTACCTTTGTTTATTTTCTGTTCTCTTTGCCATCTGAATTCTCGTTCCTGGTTGAATAATTCTTTCCATATGAGTATTGGTAGGAAGCTAACTTTCTTCTCACTCTATAACTTGGGAAGTCTCTCTGCTTGCTCCTCACCCTTACACTAAAAGATAGTGCATAGACATAGGTTTGGTCAGCCAGAAGGCTTGTTTGGAACATGGAATCAGAAACAGGGTGTCTTCATAATGAGGTATCAATCCTGGAACTGGAAGCAGCTATATCCATTTGCTGTGGCATGAATGGCAGTATATCCAAGGTTGACATCAGCAGTGTTGGTGCCAGGAGTGGCAAGCTACGACATCAGTGGTGGATCAGTGTCCTCACCAAAATAGTCCGATGGCACAATTTTGAGCTGGTTTGTGCTGTCTGGCCTCTCTTCTTTATTTCCATTTTTTGAGCCAGGTTCTTATGCCTGTTCAACTATTCTGTGAGCAACCCAACGATTCTCCTAACAAATGCCTTTTCTGCTTTAACTATTTAGAGTAGTCTTGTGATGCCTAAAATTATTACAAGTGGAAGAGTTTAGGGTAAAATTATGAGAGCTTTTAATGTCAGCCTAAGGAATTTAAGCATTATAGGAAATTCCCAGTGTTAAATGGTTTTGAGCAGTAGGATGGCATTACCTACTAAGTGATGCTTTATGGAAGATTAGTGTCAGTGTTATGTAAGCTACGACATCAGTGGTGGATCAGTGTCCTCACCAAAATAGTCCGATGGCACAATTTTGAGCTGGTTTGTGCTGTCTGGCCTCTCTTCTTTATTTCCATTTTTTGAGCCAGGTTCTTATGCCTGTTCAACTATTCTGTGAGCAACCCAATGATTCTTTTAACAAATGCCTTTTCTGCTTTAACTATTTAGAGTAGTTTTGTGATGCCTAAAATTATTACAAGTGGAAGAGTTTAGGGTAAAATTATGAGAGCTTTTAATGTCAGCCTAAGGAATTTAAGCATTATAGGAAATTCCCAGTGTTAAATGGTTTTGAGCAGTAGGATGGCATTACCTACTAAGTGATGCTTTATGGAAGATTAGTGTCAGTGTTATGTAGGTTGAATAATTTTAGATAGAGACACTGTAGCTGGAAAGGTAATATTGGAGATGTGGGTCATATTAGCAAGGGATCTCGTTTTCAGGGGAAGAAGTTAAACAGGTTGAATTTGAGTAATTCTTTGCAGTGAATGTATAATCAGATAATAACATTATGGGATTCAGCATAGATCAGAAAAAGTGAGTCCAAACTTTAATAATAATATGTGTTACTGTTCTAAGCAAAGTTATTATTGCTCTGATAAAGAATTATAGAGCATTGGGCCTCTATATATAAACTACATAAACTCCTCTGACAGGCCTGAGAGCTAACACATGGATCACACACAGGGGCAGTGGTTCAATCTGACAGTGGTTCTCTCTGTTCAGTTTTGCCTTCTTTGCAATATGTATTTGAATCAGGGGACAGGAGACATGTGCCCATCGAGAAAGAGCTGAAAATGATTAAATAAGCCCCTTCTCCTGCAGTCCCCTACTCCACTACAAATGCGTTTACTTAAGAGTCGTTTTTTGAAGAAAGTAAGAAAAAAAAAAAAAAGAACAGAAACAAATACTGGCTACCCTTATGTTATGGGCTGATAGAAAATGAATTCATAAAAAAAAAGAACAAGAAGAATCATCCAGGAAGCATTGGGATTGCCAGGACTCTTGGCAGCTGAATTCTACCTCCCTATTTTAATATCCAGAAACCTACTCAGAAAGTGAGGCAGGGTTTTATAAATAGTATAAAATATCAGGCTTAAAGTGATTCCTTTATTTTGCACCTAAAGTCCAGGAGATAGTAGAGGACAGAGGAGCCTGGCCTGCGGCAATCAGTGGGATACCAGAGTTGGACATGACTTAGTGATGGAACAGCAAAACCGCAAAAAACCCTTACACTACTTACTAAGAACTTTAATTCCTTTCAGTTAGGATATTAAAGGATGATATTGCACATAATGGACACTCTTCCATAGCACTCTGGTTAAACACAATATTTCAAAAACAGCTTTCTGGATCTTCAAGAATAAAGGGACAAGTGATAGCATTAAAAGGCTTCAAGTTGTATTCCCCTATTTATTACTGTAATGTCGTAAATTGAAAACTAGATAAATTCCATTTTTGTCATTGATACAAAACACAGAGTTGTGGGACAAAGCACCATAGCATTTAGTCAAGAGTCTTGTTTTGCCACCAATTGTTTGCTTGGAAGATTGTCTTGCCTTTTCTCCACCTCCGTTTTCTTCTCTTATAAGGGACAAGATCACTGAGGGCCCTTGCAGAAAAGATTGAGAAAAATAGTATAAAATATCAGGCTTAAAGTGATTCCTTTATTTTGCACCTAAAGTCCAGGAGATAGTAGAGGACAGAGGAGCCTGGCCTGCGGCAATCAGTGGGATACCAGAGTTGGACATGACTTAGTGATGGAACAGCAAAACTGCAAAAAACCCTTACACTACTTACTAAGAACTTTAATTCCTTTCAGTTAGGATATTAAAGGATGATATTGCACATAAAGGACACTCTTCCATAGCACTCTGGTTAAATATTTCAAAAACAGTTTTCTGGATCTTCAAGAATAAAGGGGCAAGTGATAGCATTAAAAGGCTTCAAGTTGTATTCCCCTATTTATTACTGTAATGTTGTAAATTGAAAACTAGATAAATTCCATGTCATTGATACAAAACACAGAGTTGTGGGACGAAGCACCATAGCATTTAGTCGAGTCTTGTTTTGCCACCAATTGTTTGCTTGGAAGATTGTCTTGCCTTTTCTCCACCTCCGTTTTCTTCTCTTATAAGGGACAAGATCACTGAGGGCCCTTGCAGAAAAGATTGAGAAGTTGAAGGAAAATAAAATTGGCTGTGAGAGGGAATGAACAGATGATGCTGCAGGATGAAATTGCAGCCTTCAGAGCAGAAGTTGAGAACAGTTGCTACTTTGCTTAAAGGTCATTGCTCACATTTCAATAGGAATGGGTGGTGATGTCACATTTTGAACCTGTTGTCTTTGTCTAGGGTGGGCCCTACCCTTTTCTACCAGTTATCTGTTTACCTTTTAACATAATTAGGCAGACCAGATTGGCATTTAGTCTTGTTCTGACAACGGCAAATTAGGCTTAACTCTTTAATTACAATGAGAAGGAAATCACCTTTCTGATATCCTTCAATTAGCTCAAGCAGCTGTTAAGTTATAATTAAAATTTCACATGGATCATTTGAGTTCTTGGAATGTTTCCATTTAATAACAAAACATTTGCATATATGCATTCAGTTTTCAACAACCTTTTCAAATCTGTCAATGGTAAACCAAGAACATTGATACAGTATTAAACAAAATCTTTGTCATCTTGTAAGCAGACACCTGGGTCCTACAAAATGAAAAATGGAAATAGAAGAAGGTGATCAAAGAATATTAGTGCCTCCAAGTTTTCTGGAGCTTGTTCATAGAATTAAATTTTTGTTTAATTTACAGTTCTCCAAGAGGGGAGAAAAACACTAACCAGGAGTGAGTGGTTATTTGGTGTTTAATAAATGAATGCCTGCATTATATGCATCCCATTATTCAGTGCAACAACAGCCATCCACCATGTCTTTACAACTGGATTCTTGTCTCCACAAACTTTTAAAAATATTAATGTGAGAGGGAAAATTACATGTAAAACCTCAAATATTTCTTTTATTTTATTTCTATTTTATCCTGAGAATTGAGTTCACTAAAATAATTACTGTCTTTGAGTTGCTCTGGCCTATATCTCTGATACAGCTATGGATTTAACTATTAATATGTATATAAAAACAAGGTGAAAGAATAAGCATGTTAAACATGCTTAGAATTTATATTTTATATTTTGAAACACTAAATGCTGATTAAATTAAACAGAATCCAACTGAAGTATCACAGGAATATTTTTTAAATTGTTTAAAAACTTGAGTTTATGGAAACTGAATGGCAGAAAACTGATTATAAGAGGACATAAATCTTTTCTCTGTTTTTTAAAATATAATTTGTATTTTCTCTTCTTTAACATTAGTGGGAAGAATTGATTTTAAAAGATTTGTTGGCTAATAACAGTGTTGGGTGGTTAAGCTTTTAGAATCTATATCCAAGTCCCCAAAACTATTTTTAACAAGCCAGGATTCTATTCATGCTTACTCATTGATAGTCTGTATCGACAAGTAGAATTCTATATTGGCTAAGAACCTAATGATGTCTTCCTAACCCTCAATCTGTAATGTATACTATTGAATTTCAACCACCAAGATAATTGTGTTCCTGGGAATTAAAGAATGCATGTAGAGAAAGAAAAGAGATGAAAGAGCAATGTCTACTGTCACAATTGTACCAGTGTGCACACTTTGGTGGCTACCAGCTGTTATCTGCACATTTTCCATCTGCCTTTACTAATTTTATTATGACCTTTTAGAACTGACTTCATCTGGTAGAGAGTTGGCTCTGACACACTCATTTAGTCAATTTTATCTTTGAACAACTAGAGAGAAGAATGAGTAGCAAGTGGGAGTCTATGCAGGAAAATGTTCCAAACTAATATCCCGTTATTCTTTTGTTAGGAAATAATGTTGAGTGATTTTAAGATTCAGCTCAAATACTTAACAATTACTAATTGGTAAATCCACAGGTTACCTTAGGGAATTGGTGTTAGAGATAAATTCTCAAGCAGTTCAGGATTCTTTGGAAAATGTTTGTTTAAAGAGTTTTTTTATGTTTTATGCAGATGAAAAACAGAATTCTAGAAGGTAATTTCCTTTATTCTGACTTCAAATCTAGAAAGATTTACATTAGCTTTTCTTTCATTGCCTTTTCCCTCACATACACACACACACACACACACACACACACAACACCTTATTAATAACAAAGTGTTTAGAACTCTTACTGTGTGCTCTGGTTCACTTACTGTGAACAAACCATTTTATTCATCCCAACAACCCAACAAGCTAGCTTATATTATTGTACAGATCATCCATAAAAGAAAACTGAACCCATAAAAGGTTGAATCTATGAGTTTAAATCTGCACGAGTCTTAAATCTAAAGCCCATTCTTTGTTCTCTTTACCAAGATGGAGTTATATTCATTAATCATTAATTTGACAAGTTAGCATCTACTTTACTTGATCTCTAACTTTTCTAGAATCTAGGAATACAAAGGTGAGTGAAATGGACATGAACCTCAAGTTTTGAAAGTATGTGAGTAGTGTTCTCCTTGTAAATTGATCATACTGTCAGTGAGCACATTCATAGGCCTTAGTCCTCAGCACATGGTGTTTAGTGATGTTGCGGAAGCCTGCAACAATGCTGGGAACCTTCTGAATTCTGTGAGACAGTATGTACAGTCCAGTCTTTGGTAGCTGTGTTAGCCTTAGCTGATTGTTTAGGTGTTGGAGAAGACTCTTGAGACTCCCTTAGACTGCAAGGAGATCCAACCAGTCCATCCTAAAGGAAATTAGTCCTTGGGTGTTCATTGGAAGGACTGATGTTGAAGCTGAAACTCCAATATTTTTGGCCACCTCATGTGAAGAGCTGACTCATTTGAAAAGACCCTGATGTTGAGAAAGATTGAAGGCAGGAGAAGACGGTGATGATGGAGGATGAAATGGTTAGATGGCATCACTGACTCAATGGACATGAGTTTGAGTAAACTCTGGGAGTTGGTGATGGACAGGGAGGCCTGGCGTGCTGCGGTTCATGGGGTTGCAAAGAGTTGGACACGACTGAGTGATTGAACTGAACTGGACTGAACAGCCGTAAAACCATAGAATGCTGCAGGACCCAGCCGTTAGACATGAGGTCAGTTTCTGAGTTGCTCTTGGAATTTCCCTCAGTTTTCTAACAGTCTGCATTCCACTGAGGCACCCTCTAAGGGGAGAATACCCTCTCTAGTTCCTCCTTAGTTACAGGCTACATGAAACCCAGAAAGAAGTTTTTGATGTCTTTTGTTCCCACCAAGTTAAAGGATAATGCCCTTACCCTGACTCATGCCTCGGGGACAATCAGGAGGAAGGGAAGATGTTAAACACTAGGGATCTGTCTGAAAAGCTTTTGTTCTGAGCAACGTGAATTTACTGATTTGTCATAATGCCTTAGAGGAGCTTGCTCCATTAGTAGGATTTGATGTTGAAAACGTGAAGAGTGCAGAGTACAGCACAAACAGAAACAAAGCAAAGCCTCTGAATTGTAGCCAATGGCACACCATTTATACACTAGCTATTTGTTTACCAGCAGCCGCTTCCATCTAGTTACATATGCTCAATAGAAGAATTATATACAGAATTGCTGGAACTCATATACAGTTGCTCAGCATAGGAAGAGAGTCTTCTGATTAAATACTATATTCCAGGTGTAATCAATAATTTTTCTAATTGTTCTTCCTATTGAACATCATTATTATTACTCTCTTATTTAGGTTTAACAATGTGCCAGGTATTATCCCAGACAGTCCCCATACACTCCATCCTCATACACACTCGATCTTCTCCATTGTGCAGATGAGAAAACTAAAACTGGGAGAGGGTGACTGACTTGCTCAGTGGCCCCGCTCCCCACAATGTGTGGCAGAGACTGGCAGAATTCCGGTCTGTCTGATATCACAGATGCCTACCTTGAACTCATCTTCCTCACAGAAAGGCTCTTCTGCCCTGCCTGCTATAGGTCACCCACATGTGGAACCTGCATATTCTTATTTATGGACTCTCTAAAGTTTTACTTTGTTAAGTTTTATTTCTATGTTACATGTTTCTTATGTTCCTCTTTGGCTCTAAAGCACAGACCCATAGATTACAATATTTTGTGTAGATATTTTTATCTTCTAGTTTTATGGTAATTTAAGGATGGTGAGCACGTGTCAAAGTGAGGTTATAATTTTTTCTTTTACCACTAGAGAGTTTTTCTTCTGGGTTTCATTACTTAAGTATTTCTCAAATAACTATGCCTTTACTTATTGAATTTAATAATGGATGCTCTGTGATTGATTTTTCTGAAAAAGTTTAGAGAATTGAACTAAATGATGGTCACAGTGATATTACCTAAGACCTCTCTGTCCCTCTCTAATAATTATTTATATTTAATTGATAACTAAGTGACTTAGCTCTGTTGATATCTTTGAGCCTTACATTTCTTATATAGAATAATGTTTCTGATACTTTCTTCAAAGGCATTTTCAATCACCAAGTTTCTAGTATCTTTTAAGTCTTTGAAGGAAGGACCTGGTTAACTGTTTTATGGTGGAGAAGAGTTTGGAAATGAAATTGGAAGACTAGAAATCTATTAAATATATACTTTAGGTTAGAAGTGGGACACTTCCATATTCAAATTAATACATTTATATCAAAAATAAATAAATACCCACCCATTCCTAAAATTAAGAACCTTTTAGTTCTCTCTTCAAAAAGGCAATCTGTATAGGCAACTCTCACTTGCAGTTAATAAACCAAAGCTCTATCAGGCTAGAACCTATTGCAACTTAAGACCAGCAGCTAAAATACAGTAGATAAGGTATTGCTTTGTGTGACAGGTTTCTCCAAGAAGTTTAGTGTGACAATTAAAAAATAATAATAATTTCTAAGAAGCAGCAGTGGATTTTGCTAAAGGGATATTTGATAAAGATTTCCATGAAGAATAATCAACACACGCCTGCACACTGGTACTTTCTAGGTCAGCTGCCTTTTGGTACTCATGTAAGCATCATTCAATATGACAATTATAGTATTTGATTATTACTTAATATGATATATGTCTTTTTTCTACTGAGATTAACTCAGTGGACATAAAAACTATGTCTTATGCTTCTTCACATCCCCCTACAATACCTTGCATAGAGCTAAACATATCATAACATTATAATAAATATTTACAAGATTGGATAAATTTATATTAGAAATGTTATTGATGTATTTTGCTTAAAGCAAGAAAAGTCTATAAATAATAGTTATTCTAATGTTGCTATATATTCCATATAGTTGCTAAATCATACATTTAAAATACTTTTTAGACAATGTCTAGATACAGGACTCCATTTTTCTTGGTGCATTAGTTAGCATGTGAGGAACCTTAGAGTGGAAACTTATTATACAGAAATTGAGCCCTAGTATCTGAGATGCAATTCCAGCATACTAGGAGTAAGTCGTAGGCATCTTTACTTTTAAAAACACCACAAGTGATACTAACGTACAGCCAAATTGAAAAAAATTGAAAACTAGTGTAGGGTGACTACAAAGAATTCTGCAGAAACTATCCTAAGACATCACATAGTTATATGGCTTGTTTGGTTAAAAAAATTAATGAATAATTGACTTTATATATTTTTCATAAACTGAATAGAGTAAAAGCATAATTGTCCCACTAGTAGACTGCTTGAAGTAGGCTTGACTAAAAATTACCTTTATGCATATACTAGACCATCAAAGATAGGGAGAGTATACAAACACCAACATCTGAAGTGTTTCACGTCCATTGATCATTATCTCCCCTGTGCTACACAAGGTT